TTCCTGCTTGCCTTCGACACTGGCCATCACTTGTCTGGACACGGTCTTTATTCAGCAGCATCACGTGTCCATACCAACAGAAACAACTTTCTCGTATTTTATGCTGTAGGTTCTGAGAGACATATAAAAGATTTTGATTTTATGACTTATTTATATGGTTACAGTAAAAGTAAAAAGGAACTTTCAATATAAAACTTAAGCTACCATATTATTAGCCAAAAGAGTGTACAAAAGTTATCGGAAGCATAAAAAATAATTTCTACTAACGATGCACTGAACGATCCATTGAAAACTGTGTGGCAATCTGTCAGGATGTCCAATGACGAGCCATTGCTGGAAAAACTATAATTATAGACACCGAAGAAAAAACAACAGCAGACACGCCAACTATTGCCAATGCCAATGTCGGAGCGAGACTTTTTATGGCGATAAGTAAACGCAAACACGTTATTTGTCTATATCATCTAAGTAGCCTAGCATCTCAATGCCGGCCGCTCATTATATGAATGTAAATGAAACCTAGAAAATAATGACTAGAAAATTAATAGTCCATAAAGCAATATTATGGGAAGACTAAAATAAGAAAGAAAAATTTTTAAATATTAGACTTATAATTGAAATGTTTCTATTAACATATATAACAAAAATCTATTAACGGAAACGATCGTCAGCTACTTTGCGTCACTGAATATATCTAATACAAAAATATGAAATTTTAGTTACAATAAAAAAGTAAAAAACACTTTTTTTACTTTCACACATTTGGAATACCAACCATATAATTTAATTTAAAACAACTACAACAATAACTGTAAATCATAACTATTTATTACATTGCAACGTAAACACTGAGTGAAAACCAGTGAATATATTTTTGACAATTGTATAAAATTAACTTGTGTAAAATATTGAAGGTGTAAACAAAACAGAATTCAAATTCGTTACAATAATACATTTATGTGACAAACAAAGAGAATCTACAGCTTGTGAAAGAGATCATCATAATAGGTTTAGTAAAGTAAACAAAGATTTATTTGGTGTAATTGTTCTTTAAAATAACTAATATTATAAACGCGTAGGTTTGTGATAATGAATGGATAGATGAGATAGAGATGGATGGATGTTTCTTACTTTTTCACGCAAAAACTACTATTACGGATTTTGATGAAACTATACAGTTAGCTTATACAACAGAATTACATGAAGGTTATAAACTTCACGCGGATAAAACCGCCGACACAGCTAGTACACCATAATCAATCTACAATTATAATAAAATTTCTTTATCTATTGCATTGATTTCAGACCGCATTTTTTCTAAATGAGTAACATTACATGCCGCATTTGTAGATATGAAATGTTTATCCATAAAAACAATTCCACGACATGTATAGCAATCTGCAAACAAATATATTTTATTATTATAGTCGTAATATCTATTGGTAGATATTGAATTGCACATATTTATGACCACTGATTGCTATAACCATTTCTCGGTCACATGTAGGCGTGAATGGTGGTGGTGAACACAATGTGTTTGTCACTAAGGCAGGATTTCACCAATCATAGTATAAACACGTTCAAGGAAACGGAGTTCAGCGTAAACTCGAAGAAAACAACGACGTTGATCTCGTTTTACTGTAAATGGAATTCAGCATTGTTATAGAGATCGCGTTTACCAAAATGAAGTTTAGATTTTCATTCGTTCAGTGTTACACGCTCATAAAATAATATTTGGTGTAATGGGTAATTTAACTAAAATAATTGTAATTCAATTATGTGATAATTAGGTTAAGTTTTTTAGCTTTTAATTTAATAAGTACCGTCGATTACAAAATATATAACAACAACCTTTACCTATAAACAAGGTAAAACATTATTTTACTGAGGATATTTTATACACTACTGGCAATTTTTTTTTATTCCCAATATTGTCAAAATTTGATTGATGACTGTTTGACAACTGACTGCTTTAAATACATTTAAAGAGTCAACCGTAGGAAATCGGGCGTTCAGAATTCATAAACGTGTTTATCGAAATTTGTACTGGTGAAATGCAAAACGCGTTTAAACTTTTTAATGGCGTTCAGTTCGAACTAAACGCGATCAGTGTCGTTGGTAAAATCCGACCTAAGTATATTGCTGTCTGTTGTCCGTGCATGCATCTTTAGATCTCGTCTCACGTTTGCTGCACCGATAATGACACCAACAAGAAATCCTTGACTCCGATCACAATTATCTGGACATTTTGCATCAGAACTTGACACCGTTGCGCCGCACACTAGCGTATGTTTGTCTGTACATGTTGTTGCTTCCATAAACGCTGAGAATTCATTTAATGAGCAGTAAATTACATGTGTATCTATATTATTATTAATTCCAGTTGAACTTGACTTGATTAACATGTATTCATCGATAAAAGTTATGTAACACGCGGTGTCCTTTACGATACATTCTTTATGTACGGAAGCAACGGTTCTAGTTGTTTTGCATATATAAATTGTATGTTATTTCATTTAATCTATTAATCCAGCCATGGATATAGCAGTCCTATCATTACATAGTATAAAACAAAGTCGCTGTCGCTGTCTGTCCGTCTCTATGTATGCTTAAATCTTTAAAACAAGCAACGGATTTTGAAGTGGCTTTTTTTAATAGATAGATTGATTCAAGAGGAAGTTTATATGTATACATGTACACCCGTGCGTAGCCGGGGCGAGTAGCCAGTTTACCATATGATTGGTTTAATATGTAGGTTGGTTATTCTGTTTGTGTGATAGATACAATATTTGATTATAATCATGAGCCTACTGTTTATCTATACATCTATACATATAAATAAAATTGGAGTGTCTGTTTGTAATATTAAAATAACTGTTTTTACCACATGCATACGAATATAAATACGATAGATACACCAAAATAATTTTTTTTACAATTTTTGTCTGTCTGTTTCTTTGTTTGTTCCGTCTAATCTCTGAACTCAGAACTCAGGACAGATTTTGACGGGACTTTTATTAGCAGGTAGCTAATGTAATAAGGAGTAACTTAGGGTACTTTATTTTAGAAAAATAAAGGTTAACTCCACGCGGACGAAGTCTGAAAATGTATTGAAATAAACTTTGGTATTTAGTGTAAATTATCATATTAATAATGATAGTATTATAAATAACTAATAATTAATAACACTATGACTAAATATTTACTAATTTCTTATCATCAAGATATTTAATAAAAACAATGAAATTTATATAGGTACCTTCTATTTACACTGTGTCCTCAGTAGTCTAGCGGATTATCACACTGCTTCACTTCCGATAGTCGCGGGTTCGATTCTGTCTGTCTTTCGCGCTTTCACACCAAAACTACAGAACCGATTTGAATGAAATTCGGTACACAGATAGTCTAGACCCTGAGAAAGGACATAGGCTATGTTTTTATTGCGAAATATGGGTTGTAAGGTGGTTGAAAGGGGACATGAAAGAATGTATGGAAGTATCGTTATTTTTAAAGCTAGAAGCTTGAAACCTATTTTGTAGGCTGTTGATTAAATATAATTAAATATGACAGTCAAAGTTTGTAAAGATCTTACCGTTAAGGGAGTAAAATAAAATAAAGGATGAAAGTATATATGGAAATTCGTCATTTTTTGAAGCTTTTTTCTTTTGCATTTTATAATTAGCCTAAATAATTAAAAATGTTATCCAAATAGTAGAAATTAATGAAAATAGAGAGAGCTTGTAGAGACGTTTATTATAGCACAGCGCATTGACAGAAGTGTTATAAAAATAATAAAATGTATAAAAATAAATAAATAAACTGGCAGTTTTTATATTCGTTTATCCATATTTTAAATATGGATAAATGAATATAAAAACTGCCAGTGACTCTCATTGTAGGTCCAACACAAACTCACTACATTACACTCAGCTAGTTATTACACATTTTAAAATAATTTGAACATTACGAAAATATGACGCCGTATATTTTACATTCAAACAATTCCGCTGAATTAAACTCGCTTTTGATATTAACAATAAGTATATATTCAATACCTAGAGCTATATACACTATAATCAAACTGTACTACTTTATGTCCATTTTTCATAATAAAGCTTTTAACTACAAAGGATTATTGACTCATTTTATTGTACTGTTGTTCATGATAAAAAACTGGAATAAATTGGTAATCTTAGACTTACTCATGATTGAGTCAGAATGAAAGCTAACCACAGAAACACATAGTCTGTTTACATATTATTAGGCACTAGCTGTATACGCGACTTCATACGCGTGGAATTTATTTTTTTTTTAAATAAATCTAGCCTAAGTTACTCCTTATTACATCAGCTACCAGCCAAAAAAAGTCCCGTCAAAATCGGTCCAGCCATTTCAGAGATTACCCGGAACAAACAGAAATGCAGACAAAAATTGGAAAAAATGTTATTTTGGTGTATGTACCATATTTATATTCATATGCATGTAGTTACAAACGTTTATTTCGATGTTACAAACAGACACTCTAATTTTATTTATATGCATAGATTGGGAACCAAATTAGTCTCGGGCAGACCTGTTTCAAAAATGCTTCATCCGTCGTACACTTAGATTGTGGAATGAACTGTCGAGGTTTTCTCTAGAGACTACAGGATGCGGTTTTTCAGGAAAGGTATATTAAGGTTTCTTAAATGGGCAACGCGTTTGTGACATCCTTAGTGCTTTTTTTATGGATAATGGAATGCCCTTGCCAGCGCTTATGGTTTAGGCTGACGGAACACCAGTGGAATACGATGAAATGAGCACGAAGTCAGGTCGGTTAGCCCATCTTTGCAAATGGCAATTTACTGGGGGAACCGCGTGGAGATCAAACTGACATGATAAATCATCATCAAGTGTCCAATAGCTATGGCAACTGTTCACCATTAGGCCATATCCTTAATTGCCACCAATGTAGCATAAAAACGGGAAAAAATTCTAATTTTGAACATTTTCTATTTCAGGTTCGTGAAACCCGACGAGGTGGCGAAGCTGTGGGGACAGATGAAGCAGAACGACAATATGACGTTCGAGAAGTTCAGCAGAGCCATGAGGTACCACTATAGGCAGTCGGTGCTGGTGTCAGTGCCGACCGCCCGCCTGGTCTACCAATTCGGCCACAAAGGACCCGACATAAACACCCCAAATCCTAATTTCGTCAAAGTGAAAACAGAATCAGACGCCTCCGAAGTAACGTACTCCTAGTTTAAATTTAAGTCCTTAGGTTAGAGATAAATTGTTATAAACCGATGCTCAGTGGATTTGTAAACGAGATGTCAAATTATGGGTAATGTAAGATGCCCTTTATTACGGGCTGGAGAGCTCTTCAATTCATCAAAATCTCAAATTTGCCAATGGTGATGTCGTTACAAAATCAGAGCCAGAGGAAATGGTTGTTAAGTTACTCAGATCCAAATGTAAGTGTTAGGTAAAGAACAAAATTGAAGAGTTCCTTGTGAAAAATGCTCTTAGATACGCTAGATTTTTTCGAAATTTTAAAAATATTACGGGCTTCCCTCCTTTAGAGTACAATTTAGCCCTTTTCAATTTACAGAATTAACAGTGGCTAGCTTTTGAATAAGAAACAGAAAATATTATAAGTACATTATTCCATATTTAATGGTACAATATTAACATTGGCCTTTGAACAAGTTATCAACACACATCTGATTTTCAATAATCAGCGTCATCTAAGAGTGTGTAATGATGATGAGATGATTAAACTAGTTGTTTAAGCTATATTTGAAACGGTTATTGATTAGATAGGTGTTTCCAGAAATGTTATGGATGTGATTAGTTCATATAGGCTCAATGTGACTTGACATAGTCCCCACGGTTACGATATAAGTGTACGTTGGTATAAATTGTTGAGTGGTGGATTCTCCGTCAATTAATGGTTGTAAACCCTTGTTGAAGTGTCCATATTATTTTTTTAAGTGATTTTTATGTATTTTTACGACTGCTTTAGTGTCGGCGTCATTCGCGCGGTCGCACAAAATGTCGTTCGTGACTACAAATTTTTGATAAAGTATTTTAATGTTTTGACAATTGTTACCATTATTGAGAGTGAATAGTTGAATAGATATTTTAAACATTCCGTTTTAATTTATAATAGTTCTCGTAAGTTAATCATTAGTTTCCAGTTTCACAATATTAGACTAGTTAATGTTGCCATATGTATTAATATTCGTTAAATGTACTTAAAAGTCGAATTTCTTCACTGTTACATCATCATTTCTCATATAATTCTCGAGGTTAGCTGTAAGAGTGCGAGTCCGATGTATTTTATTGAATTTTACAAACATCTCAGTGTTAGAAATAATATGAAGTGTATAATAATTGGCGCAACGGTGCAATAAAATGAACGGGACGAAGGAAAGATCTGCAGGCCAAAGATTAGTTGTGACGAAAATGTTGTTTTTAATTAAGTTTTATAATATCTACAATAAAGACATAATAATTTTGACAATTTTAATATAAATTTAGGAATAAGTTCGCGACTCTCAGGCAATTGCTGTGATGTAAGATAAAGATGAATCATTTCATTTCTGTATATAGAAACTGTATTCTGTTAGTTGACACAATAATTATTTTGTTAATGATATTCGATTTTCTATAACTAATATACATCGTTAATTTAATTATATCTAATGACATCGCATCAGTGTACATAAATTATAACAAATTATTAACGAAGTTTACAATTTTGCAAATATTTTAAGTTTGTTTTTATATAATATAACAATTTTGCTCAATACATCAAAGCTTGACGTCAATAGATAGGTTATAATAATTGAATGTTGAAAAATAAATTAGTAACTTAATTTATTTAGATGGTCTCGGTGGTCTACTGGTTTAGCACACCGCCTTCAATTACTGCGGGTTCGATACCTCGCACAGTACAACATTTGTATCCATGATTGTTTGATTGTTTGTATCGGGTATTTTATATATATCGATGTATATTATATATGTATTAACAAAAACTATAGTATTTCTATCAGTTGTCTAGTACCCATAACTCAAGCTTTGCTTAACTTGGGACTAGATGGCGCTGTGTGAACTTGGGTTACTATTGTTATAGTAACATCAAATAGAACCTTATCTTTCTTAATATCATAAATAAATGTTTTATTAAGTAATTTATAATGTATAAAATCACAATTATTTCCTTTTATATATTGGTAAATGTTATCTTTTTGAATTGAACAATATACTTAAATGATTTTAATAGATAGATACATTCGAAAACAAAATTTTATTTGATCAGATACTATCGTTATATTTCATTGACAAGAAACTTTTAGTACAAAACTGTGTCTTATTATACAACGATAATAAATCATTATACGTAAGTACTTATAAATACGTAAAACCTCTTTTAACGTAACATATACTGATCTAGATGTTTCCCAATTAGTGGTACGCGTACCCCCAGGGGTACCTGTTGCATCAAGGGGTACCTGCGGATATCAGTAAAACAAACATACACACTCACAAACATCACATTTATAATATTAGCGTGATTGCTACAATAAGAGGTACACAAGGTTTGAGGTCTTTTTTGAAGTGGTACGCAGTAATAACTATTTGGGAACCACTGATCTAGATAAAAGTCGAATTTTTAAATGAACTGTATTGTAATATGAACAAACTCGTTATATGTGTCATTAAATTAGTTAATATAAATTATAATCATTAAATTATTATATTTCAATGACAATATATGTAGGTTTTGTAAATTGGACGGTCCGAATTGTGTAAGACATTTGTTCGTTATATTTTCATGGTTGATTAACAATATAATTATGTACTTAAGATTATGATTTGTTTATATAAAGTCTATGTGGTACATAGACATTGAATGCAGGGATGTTATGGATATGAAATATCGGATACGGATAGGTTTCGGATATAGGAATGATTATTATACCGGATACGGGTACGGACGCGGATATAAAATTACTTCGGATTATCCGTTAGTTTCAGATTAATTTTGTAAGGAATTTTAAAAGTAAAATACAAATAGCTAATAAAATGGTTACATAACGTGTCTCAATTAGACTCCGCCCCTATCCGATATCCGAAACTTTTATTTCGGATTCGGTTACGGTTACGGAGCTCCGTAACATCCTTGATTCAAATATATGCAATTTTCATAAGAGTCATGTGACATACACACACAACTGAATATGTTTTTTTTAATAACTACTATAATTACGTACTGATAGAAAAACCGTAAAACCAATATAAAGAATATATGAAATCTGTACATATAATTGATTAGTTAAAAAAATATATAAAAAACATGTAAAAGGTCACATTTTAATTCATACTTTGGAAATGGTTTGATTTTATATTACAGTTTTTTTTAATTGTAATAATATAAAATTGATTTTTGTATATTTTTTTGTAACAGAAGTGCATTCTTAAGTTACGGTTGTATAGTTTATTTTGATTTACAAGTTATCATATTGACTGAAAATTATTCTTGGCGATAAGGTCGATGTTTTTTTATATTTTCGTAAAGATAATCAACAATCATTATTTTTTTATAAAGTTTTCTATAAAAATATATTATGTTAACGAATTCTTCAATTTTTATGGAGACGTAAATCTCTCGAATCGAATAAGGTCGATTTTCGTAAAGCCCAATCATTATTTTTTTATACAGTTTTCAATATATTATGAGCTTTATGGAGACGTAAAATTTGGAAAAATTTCAGGATCTTACCACGTGTTAATTATTTTGAGTTACCGATATTTGCATTTTTGATTGTGCTAATTTTTTATTGTGAATATTATGAAAATTGTATAATTATGACCATAAAGTTTATTTTAGTACAATTCGCTGTAACTTCTGTGACAAGAGTGTATGTTTAATGGGTGTATTTTTTTTTAATTCGTACTTTTTTGAGTAATTATTTAAGAATGTATAAGACCCTGCATGGAATTGAATGTATGAACTTATTGGGTCTATCAATATGTTGAGATTACTATGAGAGATTAGTCACTATTTGTGAAACTTGATTTCGACCGTTCAATTAACTACTCCTGTAAGGTGGATTTAGACTGTAAGATAATCTTCTTTTATTGCTCTTACACAATTTTTCTATTACATAGAAGGAGATATAGAAAAGGAAAAGATATAAAAGAAAACTTATACACATATGCTAGCAGACTCGGCCACGTGTTGCTGTGACCAACAGTTTCTTTATATATAAAAATATTTTGTAATAAAATAATATTGCGACTATAAATTGAGATGTAAGCTATCCTATCTTTCAAGTTGGATCAAATTGCACACAATGTGCAAATCAAATTTGCAATCGGTTCAGTAGTTTAGGAGTCGTGCACAAACAACGTGACACGTAATTTTTATATATAAAGATAAAATATAGTGGAGATTGTTGAATTAAAACAAAATTTTACAAAGTAAAAAAAAATTAACAAGTTAAAAATAAACAAAATTTAACAAAATAAATCAATTTATAAAAGTAAAAAAAAATGTTTACTTTCTATGAGCAACAGAAGGCTCTTAAATTTTTCTCAGCATGTTTACACACAGACCAATAAAAAAGTCAAGATGGATCAAAAAGTAACTACAACAAAAGCGAACAAATCATTGTCTAAATATGTACAATTGTGCACACATCACATTTTTTTTATTAATAATTAACTTATATCGAATACAAATGATGATGATGATGATGAATACAGTAGTTTTTTTATACATATGTGAAAAACGTCACTGAGAATAAAATATTAATTAATGATGTTAACATATTTATTATCATCGTTTTAAGAATTTTTAACTTTTTCTTACCCCCGATCATGAAAATTTAGAAAAAAAAATTGGCAGAAAATTTTTAATATTTCTTAACTTTGCTCATTATATATTCCCAAAAAAAAACTGGCAACAATATAAAATTATTTCTTACCATCCCAAGGTGGTTTTAAATAGATCGCTCTCAGCGATACGGCCGCCTCTTATTTTGTTTATATGTTCTGTCACTTCTAATTTTTATTGTTACATAAAATATAATCCATTTTCTAGATAAATAAACAATATATATATACATATATAGAATGATTAATTACTTGCAAGTTTATGAAATGCGACAGTCATTCTTTTTATTTTTTTTTAAAGTAACTATATGCTTATATTTCCATATATATATTAATTTAATGAAGTTACTATGTTATTGTATTTCGTAGCATTTGTTTCAAGTACATCCAAAAGTCTTCTTCAGGGTGAATACGGTGCATTCAAAAGTCAAAACAAAATGTTATAAACATTTTTATGCTCCATCTATACGTTTCTGTTGGTCTGTGATTTACACTAAACTATACTAAGTTGATGAATTACAATTATGCCTTAGTTCGGTCTAAATCTACCTTTAGAACAAATTGGTGTTTTATATTATAAACAGTTAATTAT